TCTTCCGTCATGTCCCTCAATCAGACTGATCCCCGAATTAAACCAACATCCTTGTTGTATGTATCTAATTGAAAGATATCAAAGTTTTGTATGAGTTCTGGATGATCACTAACTCACAGCCGAGACGGTGGAACAATACCGAATGTTACCTAATATGGTCAAAGTTATCATTTCACCGAATCTTCACGTTTGTATCAAAGATGAAAATTGTGTGAAATCGGAAAAGAACCCTACTGGTATACCTAGATGGAAATGTTGGTTTCTTCCTTATCTTATCATCCCTCACCCCACGCCACTTTCTATCTCTTTCTTGCGCTTCCTTCCTTTTTGCCCTCGTATCTTGCCATCTTATCCCATCCCCCTTGTTTTACTTTAAATTGTGATTCGCCTCCACTCCTCACTCCCTTTTTCCTCGGTGCTTCGATCTTGTAATCTTTTATCCTTCCCTGAGGGAGACCGTGTCGGAGAATGTGTGGCAGGTTATCCTACATCTATCAATGGTTCCGAGCTTGCATCCCTGGTTTGTGGGATCTACATGGGGAATGAGCTGACAAATAGTGTATGTCCGTCTCCCCCATCACCCACATCAACTAATACCAGATTCGACATGTCTTTCTTCCCTGAAGGTTGGCACGGCGAGGAAGACCTAGGTTGGGAATGGGTTTTACACGCCGATCGATGGGGTCCTCAAGATCCAAGGGAGGAGACTTCGCATTATATCGGGTGAGCACTGGCTCCTTTCGGTCACAGGCTCATAGCTTCTCATCCCCCCCCCCCCCTCCCCCACCATATTACACACGAACACCCTTTCTTCAACCTGTCACATTCCGGCGGACCTCTGTGGCTTGCCGAGAACGAGACCTCTTTATAAGAATCTTCTACAGATGTTCCACTAGAGAATCTTCTACTAGTGGGAACATCTGGGCTATCATTCTTCCTCGCCCCTGTGCTGGCGCGCAATTTCTTGCTATGAAGATGCTGAACGACAGATACTCTCTAGAAGACCAATGTCTACATCTTGACGTCATTCCCGAAGAAGATCGACCCATGTCCGCTTGGTTTTATGCTAAACAGGCTACTTGTGGGTACTTCCTTTTGCAACCATACCCCGTTCTCCCAGAGATTTCAATATCATCGCTTTCTATTTGTTCGTACACAACGTCCCCCCGCCAATCGTTTTGCCCTCTTAAATCCTCCACGTGCAAAACTCTCGACCTGGTCGTCAGTCTCCATCAGCGGGACTCAGAATCGTGGACTAGACATAGGGTTGCACCACTTTCCTCTTCTATTCCCGCGGACGTGATCAGTCCCTTCACTGTCATATCGTGCCAAACTAAACCACAGACGCTTACAACAAATTCCCCTTGTTCGCGTGGAACAGAAGTTATTTCGAAATGGCCGAAAAAGATCTGGCAGAGTACGGTCTTGGTTTCAAAGGGGCTTATGAAGTGAACGAGTACTATTTCCCTGTTAGTTTTCCACCTAATTGCATCCACTATCTACTCATAGGTCTTCCAATCATACTCAGCATCTTTCAACTTTGCCTTCCACTTTGATATCTCATTCTGACGCCTGTCACCCATTCACGTTCTCCTTCATGAACTCGGGACCTTCTCTCTAGGAGCGAGTAATGATCAGCAGGGGTCTCCATTACGAGTTCAGCAGCACTCGCTGACTTCTCAGGACTCGATCGTCGGTGGTCCTTTGGAACCTATACCCGGTGTTGAGAACCTAGGCAAGATAGGTCCTGAAGAATTCGCTTTACAAATGCGTACCACTCGGATATTAGTAGGAATAGGACAACCTCGATTAGCACCTACACCTTATCTCGCTCTTTGTTTTGTGAGTTGAATACCTCCATCCACCCTCCATCCACCTTTGGCAAAAACCATCCAGCCTTCTCCTCTGCAGCCACAGTACGATAAATGGAATGTCACATCCGTGTAAGTGTACTAACCACCAGGCAACCCCTTTCTTAAACGTTATTAAAACGTGGGACGCTAGAGATCCTGATAACCGACATAAATGGGATGCTCAGCAGAACAATTTGAAATGGATGGATCCACCGTGAGTAGAGCGAAAGTTTCATTGTCTCTCACCTTGATCACCTAAACCTCTCCAGGCCGAGAATTCATCTGTTAATTTCCATGTAAAGGTGTTAAATCTGACATTACAGATACGTATACAACGTTCATGCTGGTAATTATACCGGTTTCGTCGAAGCTATCCGAACTGCTATTTCACAACCGACACCACCACGTTACGTAGATCCACTCATGACTGAAAAAGGGATGAGAGATAGGATGCGTTCTTTGATCGATAGAGATTGGAAGATTCATGCTGAGGAGATACGTGTTGAGAGGGAGGCTAACGGGCATGTTTATGTGGGTTTTTCTTTTGTCTTTACTTTTCATTCATCTTCATCACACTTTTCGCCCTTCTTCTCAATCGCATGTTCCGTACTTATATTGTTTATTTACTTGGAGTAACGAGAAACAAAGCTGATAAGATAGAAATGGTCCATGTAGATTGTTATATCTTTCCTGTCATGTCACTTTGTTAAGTTATCAACTCTATCTCTATCTCTACAACTTTTTTATATCTTTCCGGGTGTATGGGATAGATTATGCATCTGTACTACGATTCTTCTGCCTGCAATCCAAACTTTCCTGTCTGTCATCTGTTGCCTGCGCCGACCAGATTTCACCTGTCATCCAAGATGTCAAGTTGTACCTGTTGTGCAAGCTGGCTGTCAAGTTGTCATCCCAGCCATTATGGTCATCAGGGATATACAAGAACATTGACGTCGAGAGTACGACAGTCCGATTTGTTGGGAATAATCGTTGATCGAACTCTGTACGTTATGTAGTTTGACCGCTTTCGTCCGATGGACAATGAAGAATCGAGGGTCAATCAATTGAGTTATCCTGTCTCATATGTCAATGGCTGAGTATCGTACGATATATCTAAAACATGTGATATGTACTTGTTCGATGTCAGCCGATAAGGAACTCGTCGTATTTGTCGTTATAAGTGAATGGTTGATGATGTTCAGTACCCGTAATTCAGTGAGAAATGGCAGTACGAGTGATCAATGATGATTGAGTTGTGCTAATCATATCACTACGAGTAGTACTCGTACTCTACTTGTATGTGGTCACGTCTCCTTGGTGTACTCGGTAGTGTTCAACTACGATGACGTTCATTCCCTTCTTATAAGCACTGTAGCCAAGTAACCAAGTGACCAAGTATCCTAACAACCAAGGTAAATCCACCAACCAATGATATTCACTATGACTCATGTGGCGTCTCACCTGCGAAATCTCCTCAGTATCACATTGATCTCCACCTAACCGCCGCCGGCCGCCAGACGAAAGATCGGAACGGATAACCCGCCGGGCCGATCGATCCATACTAAAGAACGATCCCGATTTGTGTACAATCTGGCCGGAAAAGGTAATAAATACCTGAACGAGAACAAACACGCGGTTTTCTCGGACTTGAATTGATTCATTACCCCATTACGCAGTCTTCAATCATGTTCTGATGTTCTATGCATAGATACTCCTGTGAATCTTTGGGATGCATATAGGAGTACGAGTACCATAATTAGATGTACGAATGGTATACATGTGATACGGATCACGGTGATTGATGAAAGGAAATTACATTCAAAAGTTTGAAAATATAAAGTTTGTCTTTTGGAAAAGTGCCTGAACGATAAAAACTGACCGCGTTTGGTAAGTTGAGTTGAAGATTCAAGCGCAAGCCATTCCACCCCATACCACGGTCATGGGTTTGTTGCTGTTTGGTGTTGGGACAATCAGCGTTTGGTATTATCCGCTATGAATACTTGTTGATCTATCTTCAGGTGGTATCTCCATGCAGAGAGTGGATTATGCGAAAAAGTAATTTTACCTAGACAAAATCAAATGATCCGTGCAACCTACCCAAACGTTTCAAAAGATCTTCCCCCTTGTGTAAATATGTACCCCACCCTTCTCCGAGAGTACGCCCACGCCGTATACGCCGATAGATGACGCCTCAATCCTCAGTCCGAGAGGCGTTTCTTCTTTTCTCGATTGACACGCACGCCCACTTTTTTTCCGTTTTTTGTCCCTGAAGATCCCTAGAAATCCGGAGAGTTTCATTCTTTGAACCTTGTAACATTCTAATGTTTGAGATTTCTTAAACTTTATCTTTGCCACCAATACACTTTCCTCTTAATCACTCACCTTTCCCCCTCCGACCCCTTCCTCTTCCTCTTGTATTCCACCATTCTTTCCAGACCCCACCGTACGTGGCGACACATTCTTTTCCCTCAGTAACCCTTTAACTCCCTCCTCCCTCCTCCCTCAACCGGCTCGAACTACGGCAGTGCCTTAGGTTTAAACGTTGCGCCATCACTGAAACAATCTCTCAAGTGAGTTGAGATGTTCTGCTTTCCCTCACCTGATCAATGACGAGTGATACTGTTGTCAAGGTGGAGAATAGGCAGGTCGTCAAAAGAAGTATGGAGAAATCAAACTTCATGATCTGATACATTCTTTTTGAGGGTATACGCAATTCTTTAGGCCGAGACCGCCATCTGTTTCTCCTCTCCTAAACCCCCTTGGATCCAAGGATCTCAACGATGAATCGATGATTCGATGACTCGACGATCTCGGTGGATACTTTTCAAACCATGCGGTACTTGTACTGCGGCAAATATAATCTCCCAACTATAGATCCACACTGATATCATAGGCTCCAATCCTCTCCTCTACAACCTCAGAAGATATAATCAACCCTTTTTAGTCTCTTTCCCGGTCTATCTTCTTCTTTTATTCCTCCTTGTCGATCGTTTGTTTTTCTTCCATATCGTCGCTTTGACGCTCCACTTCTTTTTCTGGAGCTAAAAGAAGTATCGATATTCACTTCTCTTCTTTCAAAGACGTCACCGTCATCATCCGTTTGATACCTCTTATCGAACGATAAACATAAACTGCGAGATTTGTTGAGGAAGAAGTATTGAACATAAACATACAAGTGGTTCCTTCTTCTTCTTCTCTCCACACATTCCGTTTCTTTCAATACCTCCCTTCTTCTCTTCGCCACCATCGATCGAATCTTCACACAATCATGTCGTTCAATCTATTACAATGGACGACGGTTTTGTTAGGTTTAGCGACCAAAGTGTTGGCTACTTCCGATGCTTGGCATTTGGATTATATCATCAATCTGGCACAAGAAGAGTTGGATCCGATCGTTAGTCCTAATCAGGTATCTTCGCATATGCACTCTATCATTGGTGAGTCGATTGTCGATGTTTTTCATTTTTCTTGTTTATTTCTGTTCCTTTCCCTTTCCCGACGTTCCAACTTTTTTTCCGGCGGCGAATCACTTTACCCGATCATCGGACGATCGACAATGTCTACCTTTCCATGACGAAATGTCTTACCTCCTCTTGTCTCACTCCCCCTCGTCTAGCAGGCAGTGGCGAGTAGCGAGTTGGACTTTTCACAATTCATAATTATGGTCGTCTTGAAATTCGGTTCGGTGGTGGGAAAACTAGGGTATAATACTAACATCCAGGTGCATCAAACTTCGGTGCCAATTACAACTACGATCAATACTTCGGTTCATCATGTACGACACTCTACAACCAAGCCGATAAATCCGCTTATTGGGTACCACAATTATATTGGTATGACACTTCTTTAGGTGCTCAACCATTCATAGCACTTCGTTCTTCTTTCCGATTTTATTATTTCTTAGGAAGAAACTCTCCACCTCAAGCTATTCAAGCATATCCTAAAGGTTTACGAATGTTAGCAGGTAATCCTAATAATAAATCACCTACTTTTGTCATTCAATATAATTGTCAAATAAACGATGATTTATCAAACCCTATCATTCAAGATAATTTCAATTTCGCAAACCCATGTAAAAACGGTTTGAAAACTACCATTTATTTTCCACAATGTTGGGATGGTAAAAACCTTTATTCTTCTGGAACGACACATATGTCATATCCACCTGATACGAATAATTTCCGTGATGCTCCTTGTCCCATCACTCATCCGGTTCGTGTACCACATATACAACTTGAAGTCGGGTGGTTCCCTGCAGAGGTAGCACCTGGTCAAAATCTTGCTGGACATTTGATTTGGGCAAATGGTGATACTACTGGATATGGTTTACATGCCGATTTCGTCAATGGTTGGGATGTGGATGTTTTGAACAAGGCGCTTAACACGGATGGTTGTGTTCATGTCAACACTGAGATGTGAGTTATAAAAACCATCTACTATTCCTCGTCTCTCATATTCACGATTGTCATTCGACTCGTTTGTGTACGGTATCATTTGTGATGGGTTTCACTATATGGTTTTCCAATACTAACACCTCGCAGTCCAATGCAACAATGTCAAGTTTTCACTCCTTATTGGAACGGAGACGCGGCACTCAACTGTAAACCATCCCGTGGTATTCTCGCCGAACCAGAAGGAAACAATCAACTTCAAGCCGTCAGTAAATTACCTGGTTGTAATCCACCTTGGGGTGCAACAGGTTCAAAACCTACTTGTTCAAGTACACCAGCTCTCGACGTCAGTAAACTTACCGGTACCGATGGAGCCTACGTCGTACCCGATAACGAATTACAAAACTTTGTCATGCCGACTAAACCAGGTTGGCAATCTATCGGTTGTCTTTCAGCTTATACGGCTGTCGATGGTGCGAAAACATATACCGACGCTGGTTTAACACCACAAAGATGTCAAGCTACTTGTGCTCAAGCTGGACAACCTTTCGCAGGTGTAGGAACAAGAAGTAATAACCCTATTTGTGTTTGTGGAAATTCACTTTCTTCAACAGCGGCTGTAGCACCTTTAATGTGTAATAACACTTGTCCTGGAAATTCATCAGCGACATGTGGTGGTACAAACGTATACGAATTTTATTACGCACCACCTGGAACTACATTCCCAAGTCAAAGTAGTTATTACACGGGTTGTTTAACCAATTCCGGTACTGGTTTAATTCAACAATCATTCTACAATTTCCAATCTTATTCGTTAACAACCGAAATTTGCGCTCAAGCTTGCGTCAATCGTAATTCGACTTGGTTCGCAACTGTCCTTGGTATGAAATGTTATTGTGGTTCAGTTTATAATATCGGAAACGACACCTACGCACCACCGGACGCCTGTTCATATAAATGTTCAGGTAATTCTTCAGAAATCTGTGGTGATTTATATCGATCAAGTGTTTACAATCTTACGAATTCCGATTTCAGCGTTTCGGTCAGAAATCATCCTGCAGGTTGGCAAGGTTGTTACGCGAAACCAAGTTCAGGTTTAGCTTTAAGTTCTTCTTCTTGGACTTCAACTTCGATAACACCACAATCTTGTATGGAAGGTTGTAACGTTTTGAATTATAAATATTCAGCAGTCGATTCCGGTAAAGTCTGTTCTTGTGGTAATACTACGAATTTAGGACAAGAATTACCAGCATCACAATGTAACACACCTTGTTCAGGTAATTCAAGTTTAACTTGTGGTGCAAGTTTAGCTCTCGAACTTTATCTATCATCATATTCACCTGTCACAGCGGCACAAGCTGCAGCTCAACATCCATCGAATTGGTTAGGATGTTACGTCAGTTCAGGTTCAACCGTAGCTTTATCGACATATTCATATACTTCAACAGTTATGACTGTAGAACTTTGTAAACAAGCTTGTGCAAGTTTCAAATATTCTTATTCCGGTGTCAGTAATGGAAATACATGTTCTTGTGGTCCGACAGCTCCAACAACTACCGTAGTAGGTCCTTCGAATTGTAATACGAAATGTCCCGGAAATTCAACGGAAACTTGTGGATCTTCTTCTTATATGGACGTTTATAACGTTACGGCAATCGCTGCGAATAACGGTACGGGTAGTAATTCAGCGGCATACAAAGGTTGTTATCAAGATTATGGTGGAAAAGGTTTAACAGCATACACTTTTAAATCGAGTAGTATGACAACGGAAATGTGTAGGACAGGTTGTGCTTATTTGGGTTACACTTTATCAGCTACAGAAAACGCAAATCAATGTTATTGTGGTAATTCTTGGGCGGGAGGTGCTCAATTACCCGATTCTTCTTGCACAAGTAAATGTGTTGGTAATACCACGGAGATTTGTGGTGCACCTTCGATATCAAGTTTATACGAAACCGTCGGAGCTCCAGCTTATCCTCCACGTATCGACCAATGGTTAGGTTGTTATATCGATAATTCAGGTTCACGTACTTTACCTGCGTATTATTACAACTCTGCCAACGCCATGACCGTCAACGTTTGTAGGACTTCTTGTACTCAAAAGGGTTATACTCTTGCTGGACTTGAGAATGGTAATCGTAAGTTTGTTTCTTGCTCGGACATTCATTCTCCTACTTGTCGCTTTTTATCCACCTTTATTTTTTCCTTCCTTTTCTTCCTCATCTTGAACACGTAACACGGAGCTGGGTTATCGATCACACGAAAGATTTCACGCTGACATTATAGAATGTTTCTGTGATAACGCACAAACATCAACTCAACTAGCACCCATCACACTCTGTACATCCCCTTGTACAGGTAACGCCACCGGTATCTGTGGTGGATCCGGTACTATCGATATTTACAACGCTACCGGTGCAGCCGCCAAATCCAATGGATTAAGTGGATACCTCGGTTGTTATTCAGACTGGGGAACCACAAACGATTATTCACTCTACTCGGACGTTCTCACTACAGAAATGTGTGAACAAATCTGTGTCGCAAGAGGATTCCGTTACGCCGCCACTCGATCTGGTAATCGTTGTCAATGTGGTGCGAAAATGTCACAAACATTAGTTTTAACAGCAAATTGTAATCTTCAATGTCCTGGTGCAAGTAACGAAACTTGTGGATCCGATACTACCGTTTCAGAATACGATTTGACTCAAACCGATGTCAGAACACCAAACATTGATACGTCTTCGAATTCAACAGGATTCGTCGGTTGTTTCCAAAAGATAAACGGACCTGTTTTAGATAATCTTATCATTACAGGAACCATGACAACTGAATTATGTGTTTCTTCTTGTGGTCAATTAGGTTATACATTTGCTGGAACATATTCTTCAAAAAATTGTTATTGTGGAAATACTTTAAATTATACGACATTCGATTATCGTCAAGCACCTTCAACTTGTAATAGTGTTTGTTCTGGTAATTCATTACAATTCTGTGGTGCTTCCGATAAATTATCAGTATATGACGTTAAGAAAACTGGTATAAAAGCAGCTTCGACAACTACAGAAGGATATAAAGGTTGTTACGCACCTGGAACTCAAGTAACTTCACCAGCATATTCATACAATTATTATCTCATGACGACCGATTTATGTCGTCGTATTTGTCATAATAAAGGTTACGCAGTAGCATCTCTTAATAACGGAAGAGTTTGTACTTGTTCCGCAAGTCCTTTATACGGTGGTGTACAACCTTTATCACAATGTGCAACGACATGTCCTGGAAATACAACACAAATTTGTGGTTCTTCGACATACGTTTCTATTTACGATACGACTGGTCCTGGATCTTATCCACCATCAAATTTAGGTACCAACTTCGTAGGATGTTATTCACAAACGGATACTTCTGGTGCTACTGTACTCAACACTTATTCTTACACTTCGGCAGCAATGACACAAACAATGTGTAGTTCGATTTGTAAAAATCAAAATCTACCCATATTCGGTGTTCAAGGTAAAATGTGTTATTGTGGTTCTTCATTACCACCTACTCAACTTACCGATTCTGCTTGTGGTTGGGCATGTAATGGTGCTTCGACTGAGAAATGTGGTGGAAGTGGTTTATTATCCGTTTTCAACCTCAACTTGGCTGGATATAGTGCTTCACCGAGTAGTAGTACTTCGAAAGCTGTTTCAAGTTCTTCTTCAAGTATCAAAGTTTCATCTAGTTCAGCTATCGTTTCTTCTTCCAAAGCAAGTTCTTCAGTGGTGTCGACTTCGACTTCTAAAGCTTCTTCCGCGGTACCAACTTCAACTTCGACTTCGAAAGCAAGTTCGGCAGTTGCTACTTCAACTTCTAAAGCAAGTTCAGCAGCGGTCAGTAGTTCGAAAGCTTCCACCGCTAAAGCTGCTTCTTCCATAACTGAAGGTTCTGAACCAATCGTTTCGTCTACGACTTCCATCACTTCCACAACTTCTAGTGTCGCTCCAACCAGCACCAGTACCAGTTCAAGCGTAGTCGTCACTTCCTCTTCCTCATCTTCCAGTTCCAGTTCCAGTTCTTCGAGCTCTTCATCAAGTGTCGCACCAACTTCAACTTCAACATCAACTTCTAAAGTAGTAGCATCAAGTACGACATCTTCCGCACCAGCAGCAACCAACACCGATTCAACTTATGTCGGTTGTTACGTTGGTTCATTATCAAACGTCGGTTCAGCCAACATGACATGTTCTTCCCTAGTACCAACAATGTGTAAACTTTGGTGTGAAGCGAATAAATATACTTATTCAGGAATGAACAATGGAGATTATTGTGGTTGTACAAACTCTTTGAGCGGTTTGACAAAGACGGCAGATGCGGTTTGTAACACTCCTTGTGTTGGTGATAATTCGGTCGATTGTGGTTCCGCAACAGCTATAAGTGTTTACAAGAGTCAAGTTTCAGGAGTAACATTTTCAAAAAGAGAGGCGGAAGTAGATTCGGAATTGGAGATGGATAAAAGGACGAAGAAATTTGATCCTCATCATGCTCGAAGGAGACAGATGACTTTTTAAAGAGGAACGGGAACGTTTCTTTTGTGAGAGAGAGAGATTGTCTTTTGTTGGAATCGACTTGTTGTCTGATGGAAAGTGGTTGTTTGGATTGGGTGTTTGAATAGGGACAGGTGTTTGGTGTTTGAATAGGGACAATTGGAAGTAAGAGGGAAAGAGAAATAGTTAATCTATTGTATCATTTAGGTCTTGCTTAAGACGGCAAGAAAAAATAAGTGTTTTAAATTACCATCTTTATCGATCTTTTTATAGAGAGATTCCTTGACGCAGGATCGTCGGGAAAATATGCATGGTAGTGTAATTGCAAACTTTTGTTCGTTTCGTAGATGGTATTCAGCCTGACCGTGTCGGATCGGAACGATTGGTCCACTGCTGCTTGTGATATCAGTGCAAAAGCGTAGTCACCCTTGTAGTAGGCTAGCAGTTCAGTGTACCACCAGCACTTGTGTACTCGATGTTGTTGGTAGGCCAGGACGGAGGGAGGGAAGGGGGGATGGAGCGCGTGGAGCATGGAGCATGGGGTAGGGAACATCAGATGGCTACAACTACCAATACATCCAAGTATGTGATACTTGTATATATGCATAATCTTCCCATGTCCTGCTGCATGCTGCATGCTGGGATCATAGGCTACATATAGTCAACCAGACATTGACGTGAGAATTACACTACTATCAAAGTAGATGCAACCTACCTTCATCACCAAACTCTACCCAAATCCTCAACCTCCCAAAACGGGCAATTCCCCACTGCACACTTGACTATCGATCCAACTTCCATCCATCCATACCTACACCTATCTCTATCATACATACAAACCAACAATTTAATCATCATCACCACTTCAAACTTACGTCCCAGGGTCATTCCTGACCCTAACCCCCCTCCTCCTCCTCCTCCATTTCCCCGACAACCATCTTTCCCTCTCTCTTCTCCATCTGTCTCTTCCCCTCCGTCTCTTCTCACCACATCCAATCAACCATCTCCACGATTGAAAGAAAGACTTCCAACTTTATCAATCTCAACGAGAAGGATCAGAGGTAACATCATGTCTCTATTCCTTCCTCTACGTCGTTATTGGCCTATAGCCTTAGGTCTCATCACGATTTATTTGATATTATTCAGATCTTCATTACCTTTTTACCCTCAACCAGATATCACACAATATACTTCTGATATCGGTTTTTTACCCACAAAAGTTTTAGCTCATGTACCTGGTTATACTATTTTGGAGAATGCTTATTATCGTGGAGGTAAGATTAGGATATATACTGAAGAACCTTGGGCTTTCCCAGTGAGTCTTTATAGTGTTTCTTACTCTCCCAACCCTGACTACCCTACGATCCTGACGGCCATCCTGTCATCTTATCTCGCCCAAGATGAAGAAGCTCTTTTGTCTTTGACGAGGGATCATCTTTTACCCACGTATGTGTCTATCCGGGAACTTCGGAATGTGTGGAGATCATGTAGATCTCTCCCTCCCTTTGACATCGATCAATCGATCAACCAAAGGACCTTTCACCACCCTGCGTCGTTCGAAACTTTGCCTCTATCTCCAGCTCACTCATATCATCACAACCTACCTCCATTCTTCTCACCTGCTTCTCCATTCAGTACAGTCAGCTCAGCACGAGTCATCTAACAGTAATGGGTCTCATCACTGACCCCAGGCAATCGACGATATAGCAAGACACGAAGATGATGATCGTGTGACGGAACATTCAGACGTTGAGATCATCCAGATTCTAGGTGATGCTTGGAGTTATGACAATGATCCTGTTTGGTTAAGATTCCCTCATATGTTACATCATGAGATGGTCACTCTGGGTCAGACTGCAGAGGAGGTTCCGGGAGTTACCGTGAGTTATCTGATCATTTCTCATTTCCCATTTCCCATTTCCCATTTCCCACTTCTCACTTCTCACTTCCCACTTCCCACTTCCCTCAACCCACATCCCACATCCCACTTCTCACTTCCCATATCCCTCCGCCGTCCCCAACACGATGTGATGCTCGCGTTGTTTGATCCAGGGAAGAACATGTGATTTGAGGAAAAGGCTGATAGATAGTTTGGAACGATGGATCGACAATGTGAGTTTGTCACAGATATCTCTTTCCTACACCCAACCCATCCATCATACCCGTCTGTTTCTCCTCCCATGCCCATCTCACGCTGTATTCTCTCAAAAATACTTCTCCACCCAGTACACTCCAGCTGACACGCGAATAAGTAATCGGATTGAAAGAAGAGCGAAAACTTAGTGGACGTAAGACTGACTCACAGTCTTAAATCACTACTACCACTTCATAGGAGAACATCTTTTCCCCCTTTGGAAAGTCTGGGCCAAAGCATACGAACGATATCATCTACCTGAACCCATGGTCAGCCATATGAGCTTTTTCAACGCTGATTCTGGACCTAGTGATGTCAGAGGGGTGGATACGTCACACAGATGGGCTGATAGAGCTGGAGTGAATACTTATACTTTGAACAAGGCTTTGTGAGTAGATTCGTATTTACTCCCCCGCTTCTGGTACGTCTTCACAAATAGTATCTCCACCATGGAGGCAGGGTCACCGGTGACATGCTTCGTATCACTCTTGTATAAATGCAACACGTCAAAGCATCCCTTCGCTGACCCCAGCCCCGGTATCAAAATCACCACTAAAGACGAATGGGATCCCATAGCTTCTTCCAACCGTCTGATACGATTCCCATACCTCCTCCTCACCTCTCGAAGAGCAGGACACGGTGGTCCTAACTCTGCTTTCAAACCTTACGGCGACGTCCTTCGTCTACCCATAGGTACCCAAGATTGGTGGGCGGATATGCGAGAACGTCTCTTAGCAGGACATTCAGCGGAATATGGTCCAGCGAGGGAATCAAGACCTGTCATCACTTATCTTTCAAGACAGAGCACAGGGAGGAGATTGGCAAATGCAAGTCATGATGCTTTAGTAGAAGAATTGGAAACTTTGTCTAAAAGTGGAAGGGCGGAAGTTAGGTATGAAGTATTTGAAGATACTTCAATTCCTGAACAATGGGCTAGAATAGCGAGGACGACGGTGGGTTCGAGGGTTCAATCTTTCACTTTTCATTAAACCATCAACATGATTGAAATAGGTTTGAAGGAAGAGAGTGGGAGGATTATAATGACGATTAGATATTACTTGGTGTTCATGGGAATGGATTGACTCATATAATCTTTTTACCTATCAATCCTGGTAGTGCGGTGTATGAGCTTCAACCGGAGAATTGTCAGATTGTGAGTGTTTCCATTGACTTTTCCCCTTCTTTCCCTCTCTATCCCTCCTGTTCTTTCTTTCCTACGCTTACGATCTTTCCTATTCCAGTCGGACCACCCTGTGTCCATCTGGGATGGCGTGTTGCCACTCCAAATTCCATCTCTCAACATGTATATAGCAGTCCTTGATTGGATGGGAAAGTATCGTCATAGTGGCAAACGCTGATGATAGAACGACTACGCTCCCTTAGCTCTGGCTAGAGGTATACCCCATTGGATTGTGCAGAATGATCGGTGCGTTGCTCCCTCTTCAATTCTTTTTTTGTATATACTTTTACCCCCATCTCGTGCTTTGTGCACCTTCCCCTCGGATGAATGCCCTGAGTCCTCTCCTCAAATTTCGAGGGGACGAGTGGGGCGAAATACTCTCATCAATATCACCTTTACTGACCCGCAGCATGTGCGGTCCTACGGAATGCGGTATCAGAGGATGTCACGAAGGAGCACGGATCAACTCTGAAGATATCAAAGTGGATAGTAGGGCTTTGGTCAATCATATCCGTGGTAGATTGGGGATCCCTCCCAGGGGTCATTAGCGAGGGTGTTGGGTAGGTTAGATGGAAAGATGTCAAAGGTTTTGGTGTTGCGTCTCGTTTGTGCTTACTGACTTTACTCCCTTTGAAAGCTGCCTTGTTTCCATCTCTATAAATTTGCCCGGTGTATTAGAAGCTACATTACTTGCCCGTCCATGAGCCCCTTTCAATCGCCCCTCATCGCACTGGTGGTGACCATGCATGTTGTAGCCGTGATGAAGAAGAGTGAGTGACAACCCGTGCCTAGCGGGATCAATTCGAGTTTACCAGTCACCCACACTCCCCCACCTACGACTCCACTCTCTATCACTCTACCACTCCACCTCTGTATATAATAATCTACCCTCAGTCTACCCTACCATACCCCACTCAATAACTCAGGATAACATATCAACCATACCGAGGTAACCGAGGTATCTCTTTCTTCCACCTGACACTCGTCTCACCTTGGTTTCAAACTAAAACAACTTAAACCCAATATCGACTGAAACATACCACAATGGCAATAATCAGATTCAAACCTTTCTTCTTACTCCCAATCCTGACATTCTTCTCTTTGATCATTTACTTGTATCACCCTTCTCCCCTCTCTTCTTTCCACCCTTCATCATCTATCACATCACCTCACGGTATTTCTTTACCAGGAGATATATACGATATCACTTATACACCCAACTTGAAACAATCGGATGAAGATAATTATAAATGGTTTTCTGAATCTAGATTGAGAAGGTTGAGTTGGTGTTTGGCTAAAGGTTCTTGTGATGGATTTGGAGATAAAGTGAGTTAGAATTTACCCCCCAACTACTCTTGCTTCTCACGTTTGGGAGCTTCTCTTTCTTCCGATTTCCTTCACTTTAGATGTCGTTCTTCATCATGCTCGTTTTCCACGTTGTTTCTTATCGCTTGACTAGGATAGCCGTTGAGTACTTCGTTTATCACATACTATGCTTTACGTGCGTTTGGTGGAGCCCCCGGGGGGGGGGGGGTCTAGCTGACTGCAATCCACATAGACCGATGGAGGGGTATCTCAGTGACAGTGGGGATGGAGATACACTGCGGAGATTCAAGTCGAGATATGATCACTCTGGCTCAGGGTTGTCTCGTCTAGGGACTTCAATCTGGGATCATGGAGACGAGGGGATGGCTTTTTTTTTGTTTGAGCCTCGGGTCAAGGTCAAGAAGATGAGTGAAGCCGGTTGGAGTGCCCGAGGAAGTAGAGAAACCGGGGGCCAGGGAAATGAGGTCGCTTCGAGTGTTGGCCTCACGTGTATTTGGAATATGCACATAGAGGGGATGGGGAATGTGAAGATGGGTAACGAGGTAGAATGGGTTGAGATGTGGAATCGCCAGAGTGGGAGAAAGGGACAGAGCACAGACTAACCTCCAGATCGTCATTTTCGGAGCTTATCATTGTCATATGGCCATGTTTGAGGGTTATCTCGGTGGAGAGGGTGTTTGGTGAGTTTTGGTTTGTTTCGTACTATCAAAAAATCATTCCCATTCCCTTCGTATCTACCTTCAAAACCTTTGAAATGATTATATGAGAGAGATAAACAATCGGTTTATCTGCGAGGGAGTAGGACGACTTTGGGGACTTTTGCGAAGAGGGGTTGGTTAGTCCTGGAGGGAAGAAGAGATGTTGAGTGATATATCTCCGTGGCTTGGTGAGACTTCAGAAGTTCACAGAATTGTGGAGCCGAGGAAATCGACAAGGGACTGACACCAGGTGTATGGCCATGATCGATTCGTTCGAACGACAAGGGTTTACGGTGTTACATGCTAGGGATGATTGGAGTGAGTTAATTTATCACCGTTTCTGTCTTGCATAATGACGATCATCTCTTTGACGTCAATACGCATAGTCTTGCATCATATCTATCTTCTTCTGGACCACGAGTTATGAATATCCATGCTTTTATATCTCTCTTCTCCTCGACCGCGAGGTCATATGTATCTCTGATTTTCATATCTCTGTTCTCCTGGATCGTGGGGTCGTAATTATTTCTGCTCTTCATATTTCTCTTCTCCTCGACCGCGAAGTCACAGATGTGTTTGCTTCTGGAAAAAGGGGTCATATATCTTTCTTTTTCCGAACCAAGGGGTCCTCTCCTAGTCAATGAAGAAACCAATCTGACCCCAGATTACATCTACCATCTCCATCGCCAGATCCCAGACTTGATCAAAATCATCATAGCGGGAAAAGAAGGACCCCACGGAACTGCTAAACAATATTATAAATCTGCCAACCGACCGGATGGAATACCCGCTTGGAAGGTGAGTCTGACCGCCTTGTGTCTCATTAACTCGATTCCCACTTCTTTCGATTTCGTCCCCGACTCTCTCTCAAGAGGAAGGTTCTCACTCCTATACCCTAATCGCCCGTGGCGCAACCCCCTGATCTTCCAGAGTCCAGCTGAGAGACCCTCCCGATCTTCCAGAGCTCAGCTGATGGCATAGCATTTTCACTTTTCTTATTTCCCCACTATAGGTCAATCGGTAGTTGGCGATAGATGGAGTGTATGTGCCGAACCGGAATACAGTCGACCCGATGATGTCAGAAGTGAGTTTAACCTCTACATCTCTTCATATATCTTTCATTCCTGTGTCATTCACGGCTGTAAACCACTGACAATCAGACTACTCGTTCATCGGCTACTCCCTCGAACCACCCGCTTCCGAAACCCCAGTCATACCCTTCCGTCAACGTCCTCATCGAGCCTACATCCTAGCTAAAAGAGTCCAATACTTCTACCAATATGCAAACCCCATGTGGGAGCCATCTTACTTCACTCGCGCCGCTGCCGAGCTCTCGGCCATCTGGCCAGATTTCGAATTCGTGGGAGGTTTCGTTGATGACCGAAGCGATAAAGACCGAGAAACCCAAGGTCCCATGCCAGTACCGGAAGGAGTGAAGAATTTAGGATTGTTAGATGCTGAAAGGTTTGACGAGGAAGTAGGAATGTCTAGATTGTTGGTAGGTTTAGGATGGCCAACGATGAGTCCTAGTCCTTATCGAGCTTTGGCTAGGGGTGTACCATTTTTGAACCCAGTGAGTTTTTCGTCGGGTCGGTAGGTCTCACAAAAATGGTGGATAGTGCTGAGATAAAAGCATAAAATGAATCCTTCATCTACTAAAGAAAATCGACATTCTTGGAGAGATACTCAACATGCTACGTTGAGAATGATTGATGAACCTTATGTGTATCATACGGAAGCTTATGATTATGATGCTTTTTTGAGAGATATAAAGAAAGCTATGGAGACGTCTATACCACCGTTCGTATTTCTTAATCGTTCAACCTCCCTCCCTCCCTCTCCCTCCATTGTCTCCGCCCTGACGCTTTCTTTCATCACGTCCCCATCTTTCACCTCTTTCACCTCAATTTCCCAGCAGGTCGCGATGTGGGTGATGTGGCCTTGACTAACACCTAGCTTCCGATTCCCCTTTCATTCCAGAGAAGCGTTCGATAAACGAATACGTGATCTGATACTCGCCGATTGGGAATCTGAAGCTGAATGGATATTGAAAGAACGTATAGCTGGACATGAGACGCAGAGGAATGGAGAGATTGGATTGTTCGAAATGTGATATTCTCATTGGGGTTTGTTGGAATAGATGTCATGTAGAGATAGTGGGTATGCATGGGCTCATGCACAGTGGAGTCAGTTGCCTCACCCTTCTAGATGCCCATCATCTACAGTACAACGCTCATAATCCAACATCTTGTCCAGTCACGTAAATGCAGCAGCAGTGGACAGTCATACCCGAGCTGCGCGGACATAAGGGGTGGTGTCGGAGATAATGACACCGGCTGGGTCGCCTTAGTGCCACGTGTTGATCTACTCGCGGGTATTCGGGATTATACACTCTTGTCACTCATCTCACACATCGGACGTTTCGAGGTATTGGTGTCATCTTTCATCGTCTTGGGTTATACGTCATGGTAAGTTGATCTCTCTCTTCCCCACTCATACCATCTTGATCTGCTGCGTAACAGCGCTCTTTACCTCTTGTGGAGGACGATCAGAATGAAAAAATGGTATATGGAGGCTATTGAATTGTTTCTGGGTTTAAGGACGAGATTCATTCAGAGGCAACACCTACCTACTCTTCATGGCATTCAATAGGATAGACATAGGAAGATAGGTTAGGCAGAGCTGGGATACGAAGGAGACGAGATAAATATGTCAAAAGAGATGAAATAGCTGACATGGTTCAGGCTCCTACCAAAAAGGTCAGACCCCTTCCCTTCTCCCTTCTGTTCCCTTGCATACTTTTTTTGTATTCTCCATCCTTCTTCATCCTCACCGGACTATATCAACATCTCATCTCCTGGAATAATATCTCTTCATGAGCTCAACCTCTTTCCGAATGTCGGTTAAGAACTTGCCTTTTTTTTGTATTTGTGCGAGATGGTTCGCCACATCTTCATCTCGCCCGATCTGACACATGTGGGACCTGATCAAGAAGAGTTCGGACGGATTCGTTTACACCACTTCGATGCTCTGGAGGAAAACGTTGCGATCGTTGTTGGATGGACAGTGTCACTAACTAGCAGCCCACCAAAACCCGTTCGGCTTTACACGACGTGGTCACTAGGGAATACACCCTTCATCTTCATACCCGGATCCACGATTTGGCTTTTAAGAAGAGTGAGTTGATGGAATATCTTTATACCGTGTTTCCTCTCTCATTCCTTCACTCACAGTTCTTATCTCATTCGTAATTCCATCCATACTTCTGTGACTAACGTGGTAACTGGTACTCTACACTTTACTAGCCTTTGTACACCTCTGACTATCTCTGTTTTCCAACCATATCCCAATCGGCTTGAAATGATTTCTTTTCGAAGAGATGTCGTCGATGAGTTGAAGACACTATAAACACAAGTTGTTGATCCCTCGCTAACCCCAACAGAAGCACCCAAGGCCATCAAAGCCGTCGTCACCTTTGCTCAAAAATCAATGGGCGTCAAAGACGTTCGTATCTCTCCCGGTCTCAACCAAGCCATCTGGGCCAGAGGTATCAGGTCTCCACCCCGACGTATCCGTGTGAGACTCGAGAGGAAGAGGAATGATGATGAGGGGGCAAAGGAGAAGCTTTACGTCGTGGCCAGCGTCGTGGAGGGAGTGACCAACTTCAAGGTGAGCGTCGGGCAGCTTTATTCACTGTGGATTTCTGATCATGCTTGCTTCACACCTGCCACCGCCTGATTGATACCCCCGCGTCTCTCTCTGGGGGCCAATTCCTCTTTCCGAGACATGAGCTGTGATGCAACGACGTTCAGAGAACTCAGCTGACACCGCAGGGGTTGCAAACCGTCGTGGTCGAGGCCGAAGAGTAGATGTAGGCTAGTCGCATGGATTATTTCCCACATGAGCTCGTATCGTCTTCACTGACCACTCCCAGCACCTGACAACATTGTGACAGCAGGTCTGATCTGATTCAAGTCGGCAATCCCGAGACGACGTACGAGATGCGTGCGTTCTACGAGTGCATGAATCTAACCCCGGTCCATCGGTCAAGATACAACAAGTGGGGAGACAACCAAATCTACGACATCTAGATCCAATCACAAAGGCTCCGTCACCCCTCTTCGAGCAGCCGCCATGTCTCTCACCATCTCAGCGATAAACTCGCCGTTGACCTTTTCTTATCAGCGGGGGAGATACTCGAACTGAGGGCTGATCACCACTTACTCGGATGTTGGAACCGTGAAACCCTGGTCCTTGATCGACCGCCCAGCCATCTTCACGTCGCCATCTGCGAGTCAGCCGAACGAAGTGTCTTTTGTATCGGGATCGTGACGCCTGTTCAGCTTTTCCACCTGAGCACCCGGGTAAGAGCACGCTCGTTCAGCAGAGCCCGTCTTGGTGTGCGAGCGACGAGAATCTCCGGACGAAGCCCCAACTCACTGATCAGGAGGAAAGACGTGGTCGTCGTGAATAGCATAATATTCATGTCCCATGAGTTCGGCGACGAGGGCGTAGTCCTACCGCGTCAGCTGAGTCGCATCAGGGGAACTGGAGTGAATCTGGTGGGCAGAAGTATGGACGTATGTCATTGACAGGGATGATACTGAGAAGGGAAAGACGAGAATGAAGATGTAAAAGTGTAAATCACCCTAGCGAATCCAGGACCCATCATGAACTACCCTAATCAGCTTTCACTCGTCAATCTACACAAATACTCACTTCCAACACACCAGAATCAGGTTTCATCCATAATTGATGCGTCAAACCATTACCATGAACACCTATCATTATCTAACTCGTCAGCTTACTCATTGGAAATAGATCTGAAAGCTGACATCGGTTCGAAGGGCGAGACAAAACTGTATGTCAGCTTGTGGTTCCGACGGAGGAAATGCCAGCTGTCATATGTTTTCAATGTTACTGGCGTACTGTGGATCATCCCTCCGCAACCATGTTGGAGACTTACTAAGAGGGAAAAAGGGAGAAAGGAAACGACCCACTTGTTCTGTTCTAGACATGGTCTCCATCTTTGCATCCGTGAATTCTATCACGCCCTCTTGAGATAATCGATTCATCGATCTTAACAACCCTTCGGCATCTTCTTCGGTTAATCTTCTACCTGTCATTTGACTACGGGTCAGTCATCAATCCACATCAACGATGTTCAGCCCATCTCAAATATTGATTTGAAGCCGTATTTCCCAGCTGGTTGAGAACATGAGAAAGTGAGGCTATCGTTCAGTACGATCTTGGCTTGGTGGTAATGATAGTAGATCCAACGCCCTTCGCTTAACGGGACGATGAGTCGAATCAGGATGAAAGTAAGGGAGATATAAAGAGGAAGAGAGAATTATAGAGAGAAGAAAATCACAGACCGATTGATATAAGTCACCACGGGTCTATCAGACCATTTCCTTCTCATATCACACCCATCGGCAATGACCAAATTCTTCATGGCATTTCTCAATGGACTCATCCAATTTTTGGCAACTGATAATAGAGGTAAATCAGCGGTAGCTTTATTCCACCATTTAGTTTCTTGACCATGTCTATGAGCTGCCCAACGCTGTCCTGTCAGAAATGTATATATTCCTTTGACACACCCTTTGGAATTCGAAAAGGATAAATTCCACTGGGCGATGGTCTAGAATAATCTTGATCGGTCTTAGAACCACCTATAGAAAGGAATGAAGAATGAAAGTCGATATAATAGTGTTGACAGAGAAGAAAAGAGGTATGGGGATGTGATGAAGATGAGATAAAAGAAATTACTCACATCAACGATAACCATTCTGTCATATATGAAAGTCAAAGAACTACTAGAACGATCTTCAAAGATCGTCCTTTCTTCTACACTTGTAGAAGGTAAGACAGCTTGTTGAAACCATGGTGTGAGACCTGTCCGATCACGCTTAATCATCAGTACCCTATAAAAGATTATTTCATAAGTGTGAAATATCACTCACCCAGTCATCAGGTGCAGTACGGAACATGAGTCTAGTAGGAAGTTCATCTTCACCAGCGGAAGCTAATACTCTCCAAGCTCCTAGAAACAATTCGGCCACTAGAATCATAAGGATGATGATCATATTGCGTGTTACAGGTAAGGGAGCTTACCGACTATTCGTCAGCTCTGATTTCATCTTCAAACAAGGAGAATAAGCTCACAATGGAAATAATGATCTATGAATGATCCCGATTTACTACCTGGTGTATCGTTAAAGAATATCCGTTCGTCAGATAATCTCTCATCTCCACATTTCAATCCTCCCATATATCATTATACCATATCCCAATTGAAATGACGGTAACATAAGAGACACTTGTGTCAGTCGGTGATGAAACGACTGAGCAAAGGTTTCTCGAGAGTAGAGAGTAGAGAGAAGAGAGAAGGGAATGAGAGGCAGGCTCGATGATGTGGTAACTCACCGATGTCCCAGGTTTCCGTATAGCCATCCTACCCAAGATCTTTGAGCCTAATTCCGGATCAACAACCATCCATCTATCATCCTCCGGTTCAGGATGATTCTTCTCTGAAGTACTTTCACCACTCAAAATGAAACTCCTCCCTTGTGAAGGTAAAGATGATGGGTCAGAGGTCACCACGATGAAAACTCCATTACGGGAGTACAAGTCCGTGAAGTAGTCTGAATATCAGCACGCTGCCTTATTCCTCTTTTCACGGACTTCCCTTTCTCCAAGATCCTTCCATCTCTTCTCGCCACAGGTGACTTTCTCAGAATGGACCGTCAAACTGTCAAGCGAGGGACATGTAAGGTTGTTGAATGGGGGGGGATGATATGACTCACTAAAACCAGCTACTCCTGCTACATACTTGGTCTCTGGTATATAAGAATCCAGCGAGAGATAAGGAGAAGTAGTCGGTGTAGAGAAGAAGGAAGAAGTAGGAAGGTTTAATCTTCGAGGAAGGATCTACAAGTCAGTTCGACTCTTCGAGGTGGTGTCAAGCCTCACAGAATTATCAGAGGTCGAATGACGCCAAGTGAGGATGATGGATGATAACACTATGAGAGCTAGGATAAGTCGAGGAGTACGTGATTTTAATGCAGGCATGATTTATATATACACAATGGACATAAGAGATATACACAAAAAGGTGAAGAAGAAGTGGAGGAAGGAAAGAAGCAATCGAAAAACGGACAAGTTCGAATGACCAACAACCTAGTCAACCTTACGTTACTACTCCACCTTATGTTTGACTTTGGATTGAATTGACTGACTATACTGACTGACTAACTTAGACACTCACTAGCTACTGACCGATACACATCATAATGTCAATGACTTGATCGTACCAGCGTAGCGGCTTACGTCCCGTCCTACCGCGGCCTCCTGCCTCCTGAGTGATTCTTCAACTCCCCTCGTCCCATCATGTCCCCTAGAAGATCGGAAATTCTGGCTGGCCGTGAGACCGAGAAACCGGTTTTCTCTCATTTCTTAAACCCTTTTCACCCAAAACCTGTGTCATCGAGGAAGACGGGTGTCCAAAAAATGGTCGAAATGACGATGAGGCGATGAGGGTTATGTGAGAAAGGATTTGTCCCCCTCATCTGTAAAAACTCTCTTTTCCCATCCTAACTTCTCTCATACATTACCATTGAAAAGTATTTTACTTCTTACTTCAACCCCTGCCTATACTACTCTCACTAACAACACACGTTGACCCACCGGATATCTAACATTGTCAACAGACTAAACTTCACTCGCACTTATCGGACATGGATATCCTCAATCGGGTCAGGCTGGGGCTCGAGCCCGACCAACCAGAAGAATCCCAATTCTCTCGGACAATATACGTCTCATGTGATCGGAACGCTTGGTCCCCTGATAGATACTATATGACAAACCTCCCTCATACCACCCCAGCAGATATCGAGAGAGATGCAGAGACGATAAAGAACATCCAATCGACCCCCGGTTCGAAGATACAAAATTGGCCGATGACACATCCCTTGTCTTCCAATCATTATTCATCCACCTTTGAAACCACTGAACAACTGACTTCTCCCGACCACAGTTTGAGCAAGCGAGGAATGGGCCTGAGGTATGATAGTGTAGCTTTGGAGAGGGAACTTAAAGAAATAGAAAGAATCATGTACCATGTTCAGCCATATCCCAACCAAACACCAGTGGAATTGGAAAATGAGTCAAGGATACTCAGCTTGCTCCACTCCCGACTGACAGGAATAATCGATACCGTCAACAAGTTGAGCCGTCCAAACATAATAGAATGGTCAAATCGATTGGTCCGTGATGAAAACAACTTATTGTTGACCGCCATCAGATACTGCGCGCTCACAAGATATGATCATGGTGTATGCTTAAGGGAAGAAGACTCACAGCTCCTTCTTCCAGATGTGAATGAGGACATTGATTCTACATTCAGAAGGAACACAAGGCTTCTGACATTGATATATCTTGACACTATAAGGCTCCGTTTGACTGACCGACTCTCAACTGAGATCAAAATCCAACAAGGAAGAGAAGTGCTTGTGACAGTAGAGGAGAGAATGAGAAGCTTGTCAACAGCTAGGCCACAAGATACACAACTTGGTGGATATGCTACACAGGGGGAAACATCATCATCATCTGTCTCTGTGAAGAAGAAGGACGAGGAACAATCTCCCTTGGTGGCACTGCTCACAGTGGAACGGGAGTTGCAAAATCTGTATCATGATCTAGTGAGGTATCTTGATAACATCCAGGCTGAGAAAACTTACTCATATAGCGTGCAACACTTGGAAGCTACCATTTACAACTCACGTATCCCGGAAGCATTCTGGAATACTATGGGGGATGTGCGGAACTTTCCTGATGGCTATGAGCTCTCACTCAACAATCTCATTTGCCTTGAGAAGTGCAAACAGGGTTTAGATGAAGCTGTCACAGCCGTCGAACAACTACTTTCCAACAGACCGACGGTCGACGAACCTCGGCTAACTTGACGCTTCTAAGTCGATGTCTCACCCAACCGGGAGGGCGCAGACGTCGAAAGGAGTGTAACTACGGCGTACTTCGGCGTAGTTACTCCAACTGGGGTTTTGTTCTACTGATGGCGATGTATCTCGATTTGTATATAGCTATCTCTATCTGTCTTTCACTACTGACAACAATCAAGGATCGCTGAAGAACTTCAGCGATCTTCTCAGCTAATATTATCTATTCCTCCTAGACGTTCATCCAACCCTCTCACGCTTTGATGTACTTCAACGCACTTCGTCCAACTTCCCCGAGTCCCCGGCCATCCTCTTCCTCCTTCGACTAACTCCGCCTAACATCGCCGCACTTCTGCTCCCATTGTCCCTACCTAGCCTAACTCCGTCTAACTTCGCCGTACTTCTGCTCCCATTGTCTCTACCTAGCCTAACTCCGTCTAACTCCGTCTAACTTCGCCGCACTTCTGCTCCCATTGTCCCTACCTAGCCTAACTCTGTCTAACTTCGCCGCACTTCTGCTCCCATTGTCCCTACCTAGCCTAACTCCGTCTAACTTCGCCGTACTTCTGCTCCCATTGTCTCTACCTAGCCTAACTCCGTCTAACTCCGTCTAACTTCGCCGCACTTCTGCTCCCATTGTCCCTACCTAGCCTAACTCTGTCTAACTTCGCCGCACTTCTGCTCCCATTGTCCCTACCTAGCCTAACTCCGTCTAACTTCGCCGTACTTGGTCTCAGATGTCCTGAGTTACGTGTAGAGTAAAGAGGTTAAGGCGTGATGGGGGTTTTGATGGTCAAAGGAGGGTCATTGTTGGTGGAATAATCGAGGTGTCACGACGTAGTTCGTGACAGAAGCGCTAGATAAACTTGAAGGGACATATAAGAACCAGGAAGCTGAACTTGTATGGAGAACTAGTGTTGACAACACTATAAATCTGGCCAAAACCTTTTACGATGTCTTCTTTGGCAGAGGTGACTAACCGTAGTCATGGACTGCTGTTTAGTAAGTAGGTAGTGAGTGACCATGTTATTGAAATTAACCGCCCATCATCACATCTTTATGTCAGGACCAGTTGTGGAAGATAGTCTGTGTCAATGAGCTATGGCTATTGGGCCTTGCAGGAAACAGACCTAGTGATGTAGTAGATAGTCCAGTGATGTAGTAGATGGTTCAGTGATGTAGTAGATAGTCTAGCGATGTAGTGGATTGAAGAGACTATAAGTTGATGAGATCAAGTGGCAAAGGATTTATGTAACGGTACTGGAAACACAATGACTACGTCACAGGTCGGGTCGAACTCGATGGAACTCTCTTAGAAGTCTAGGTGTCTCTGGTGCTAGTGAATCGTGTCTCCTCTGCAATCGATGGAGCCAAAGAATGATATTGAAGAATCAGCAACGTTGGTACTTTGCTGATTGTACTATATACTCGTGGTCACCAAAAGTTCCCGCGCAGTGGCGGTTTTTCGTCTTTCAAAAACATTGTGTGATAGACATAATCTCTTATGCATTCCGCATCATCAACAGTTATAGACAAACCCACTTATGCATGTAATCCCCTGTTCCCACTCTATCCAACCATGCATCTCACCAACGTGTTGCACTTCCCTTGACCTCTAAAACCGCCTTCCTCCTTTCCGGCATACTCATGATCATCCTATCAATTGTCTCCTGCGGAATCTCATTCCAAAGTCGCTGAATCTCCGTCCAGAGTCATTCTACACTAGTGGGACGCCTATCCATCCTTCTCAAACCCGCCTTTACAATCCCCCAGCAGCCTTCAATAGGGTTAAGATCCGGAGAAGAGGGAGGGTGGGAGAGATTGGGAATATTGACAAGTGATCGAATGGCTGCAGCGGGTCCCTTGAAGTGTACCGAGGCTCCATCTTCCACCACAAGAACATCCTCGATCCCCCTAGCCCTTGCCTGGTTTACATAATCCTGCAGCGGACCCCACAGTATCTGTCTAGCATACACCTTCGAAGTGATTGTTTCCGCAGGAATCCTCTTCCCCTTTTCTGTCCTAGCTGGTGCCAATTCAAATCGAACAAGAGGAAGCTTAACACCGTACATGATTGCTCCCCATACGTGTAAAGTCTTTCCATGTTGGAACCTCACTGCTAGATGCTTTGGATCGTACTCGGTACCAGGCTGACGGATGACACGAGTTTGACCAGTGTCGCCAACATAGAAACAGGCTTCGTCGGTGTACATTACACGTTTGTCGTTGATTTTGGCATTCTCCCTGGCATACGCCATACGCTTTTTACAATTGACAGCGGAAATCATACATTTTGTTCGAGCAATACGGGAGTGATAGCCATGTTTGGAAGCGACTCGGCGAGCAGTGGAAGGGGAAATATCTGCGGAGGTTGCAAATACGTCGAGTTTGCCTTTGGGGTCGGCTTTGATGGACCTGATGAACTTGCAACCCCATAGGGGCTGAGTTTAGGGGGTCTGCCGGATCGGGGGAGGTCATAGACATGTCCAAGATCGTCATAGTGTTTGATGATACCACGTACAGTTGATTCCGCCAAACCCATCTCCCGAGCTATCCAGCGACCTGGCTTTGGCAATCCAGCTCCTCTTGCATATGCTATGATCTGACCCTTAGTGCTTGGTGTGACTGGAGCCATTTTTTTCTCAATGTTGTTTATGCACCAGAGGAGTATGGATGAGAAGTAAACAACACGTCTAAGGGGATTGACGCAAAAACGGGAAAAACCGCCACTGCGCGGAAACTTTTGGTGACCACGAGTACTGTCTACAGGTATCCGTGTTGGAGCTACCAACACTGGCTTGTACGGCGTGGAGGATCTGTTATTGATGTTTCTCTGAATGGGAATGGCTAAAGGGAGTGTTCAGCTCCCGAGTGGTACATCTCTGGCTGGGAACGATCAGGTCCGTGCAGCTCCGGAGGTGCACATCTCCGGCCGTGTCCCTAACAGATATGATGATCCTTATTCTTCGATGCAACCTTTTGCTATCATCATAATCGTACTTGTTGTACATCAAGCAGTGAGGGACCAAGAGCTTCTTAACCTCCTACCTGTCACTCCATCAGACTCTGTCATCACCATAACACTGCTTGTGAAAGGTTCTTGAGAGCGACTACCCATTTCTTTTGTGAGATATGCAACTTATTGTAGGTACTGTAATACATGGCAACGGTGTTGACCCTTCTGATATTTGTCACGTGTACATGTTCCACACATGACTGGTTGAAAAGCTCACATTTTGTAGAAGCGTGGACGTTGAACTAGGGCCAGCGTCTGTCCCTTCATGGCACTAAGTTGCAAGGCCTTCCGCTGATTCCCCAAAAATTGGAGATCCGGCCGGCGTTCAACAGTTGCATCATTGCCGAGTGCATGGGGGAAAGGCGTGAGAACGATTTCTGGTGAAACCGTGAGAGTTCGCCACCGGTGCGGTCTATATAACAGTGAGCCAGGCTCCTTGGAGCTATATTCACTTTTCCCTTGCTAAAGCAATACAGCATACAACATGTACCCTTCGGCAAAGCTGACTAGACAACCACTTCCTGTTTTTGAACATGTGAATCTTGCTAGAACACAATACACAACCAACACTGGCTTCAGTTTTAAAATGGATAGATACATCACAAGTAGCTCTCAGAATTATCTATAAATCTCTCAGACATGGAAGGACAAGATTGAGACCCTCTTTGATCCAGATAGACTTACAAGAGTGTTTGTCCCAAAAGAAGAGACCACAGAACCTGAGCACTCACTCAATGGACAAAGTGGACTCAGGCGTGATGCAGATGCTATGAGAGATCTCGTGACTGACACAGCACATGTCTTAGCTTGGATAAAGGGCCCTGATGCCTACAAGCAAGACCAAATGCAGTTGGTGGAATACATTATTGCCAGAACCTGTCAAATCCTAGCTGTTGCCTGAGAAGATAGAGCGTCAAATGTAAAGAAGTGGACTACAAAGGTACTTCAATCCAACTTGATTGGACCACTGTCTGATTTTTTTGCAGCTACAGAGTGGAACAAAGATAGTGTATGCTGGACTCATGGTGGTCTGGTAGAGGGAATCAAAATGGATCAGGAAACATACACCTGGCTTCAAGATGATTACAAGGGACTCAAGCTGACATGGCTAGATGCATGGAGAGTGTTTGCAGAGACAGAGCTTGTCTTCAGAGTGGAGAGCTTGAAGCTTGAAACCCTCATGAAAACAATGCTTGAGGATATACAGTTTGAATCATCTCAGGACCACAGAGAGACACACTCTTTGCACCATGCCTCTGCAAAGCATGTGACCAGCAAGGAATTTGGACATTTTGCGTCTGTGAAACACTCCTTATATCGGACAATGAAGCCAATGGCAAAAGATCAGAACTTGACACCTGAGGTTTTTGGAAAGTGCACTTTGAGCCAGTGGGCAAAGGACATTGAAAATGACAGTGACACAACAGAGCAGGTCAGTGCCACTTTAAAGCAAGCTTTTTGTCAAAATGTTCTCATGGCAGGGTCAAGTGTCCGTGCGCAAAGACTCTCAGAACTGGGCTTTCAGATTTGATAGGTCCTCTTGAGCCCAAAGCAGAGACACAAGTCTGGCACAATATCATTAGTACCCTTCTGGAGCTGTCAGGAAGCCATATGATCATTGAACTATAGCTCTTTGACTAATAGGCCTCAAGAAGGCGTATTTCAGGGTGAATACATGCTACATGGAAGTTCTCAAACCTCATGGAAATAGATGGAGAGGAATGCATACCAGAAAGCGGCATTAGGTGGGGGCGGGTTTTTGACTCTTGATATTTTCCCATTGAGTTTGCTCAAAGAGGTTTTTCATCCGTTCAGGTATGCAGATAGACACTTGCAGCAGGAGGGGAATGCATCATGACTATCAGCAGACAATATAAAGTACTATCAGCAAAGTACGGATCTCTGACCGTGTGCAGAGGAAGCACCATCAAGTGCTTTGATAAACATAGCCATCAATCAAAACTCATTGAACTCAACCCAACCTACAACCAAGGTGTTGTTGTGTTTCCAGGATCCATACAAGTAGAGATCTCAACATGCTGACTTCTCTCTCACCAACCCGCTCCTTTCATGTGGCCCGCCTTGTAAACAGCCGAATTTGAAGAATATAGTTATGCATCAAGATATGAATGAGCAAACAAGAGAAAGGTTTCAAAGCGTGTAGCTTATCCAATTGGGCCAGCAAAGCCCTTACTGTGCAATAGCCCAAGGAAAAGAGTGAAAATTGCATCCTATGGATAGCCTTGGTGCAGTGTTGGAGTTGAAATCCTCTATACTTCTCCTCACATTATCTGTCTCAAAGCGCCGGCCCCGCTACCTATGAGTGTCTCAAGATGTCCCTCCGACATCCTTAGCCAAGTGCACTTGCCTCATGAAGACAAAGGTGAAGAAACAAGCTGAACATGAGCTCTCATTTCTTACTGTTTGTCAGTTGTACTCACATGCCCAGGCGCAACCCGCCAGTAACCAGAAACCATCCTTCACTGCAATCCTGAAATCCCCGGTATGATTCAAGACCTCTGTCTGCACCAGAGATGATAAACAGACACCAAGTGTAATTGACAGTTGAAGGGCGGTCTGGAATAATGCACCGGCTAAAGATTGTTCTTCCCTATAGTGGTATCAGTGGCCGATCGGTCCGACTCAAGCTCGCACGGATGAGGTAGACTCACTTGGAAACGAGGTTTGACATGAGGACGGAACCTATTCCAACAGTACTTCTGGTAAGCTAGAATTGCAAGGGTAGAAATGCTAAGGATTATTATGTGAGAGGGTAAAAGGAAGAGTGTGAACGGGTAATGCAACGGTATGTGAACTCACAAATCTGCGCCAAAGGGGTTGAAAATGTTAGCGGGCCATTCCATCGCCCAGTATGTCAGTTCTCGAGGCTCAACAGCGTATAGCCAGCACGCAGCACTATGTGTCATTATGTCTCAAGTCCTCCTAGCCCTCCCAACACTATTAAAGTCTCCCACCAGCTCACCGCCTCGAGATGACACGCTGAGATGACACGTACGGATCAAAAAGAAGAAGCACCACCGGGAAGAGGGCAAATGAGAAGGATTTCGCAAAATCGGGTGGAACAGGGACATACCTAGTGGAGAATGCTCCGAACATGAGCAGCCATGGTGCTCTGACTCTTGGAGCCAAGATGGGCACCAAGATACAAGCCAAGGCCCCTACAACAGGAGCGGTCAGGACATGTAGGGCATTCAGCATCGGGCTCTCTCCTTTGACATCTTGGTACCATATTGCAGTCATGTAAGGCCATCCCTGATGATCAACACTTGTCTCACACTTCTACGCCTTTGTCACTCTCCGCTAAAGAGAGAGTTACCAGTCCCTGCTACGTGTAGTGAATTTTGTAAGGAGAGCGGGTTGAAAGTAATTCGATGACTCACCCCAACAGCTGTGTATGCCGAAACAGTGGAGAGAAGAAGATAGGAAACCTTCCTCTCATGACGAGTGAAGATCCCCAGATCTATCAGTGGGGCCTTGTTCTTCACCTGGAGGTAATGCTGCCACAACCCAAAGACACCTAGCAGGAGGAGAGAGAGCGCGAACACCACTGGTATATCCAATGATCAGCTTCGGCTTCACCGTATGACAGGCTGAACACTTACAGGGTTCCTTCCATCCTCGGGGAATAAGTCCGCCTTGGGTTATAGAAAACATCAACCCCCCAAGGGAAGTTACCAGTATGGTAGCTCCAATCCAGTCTATCTTCCCTCTTTCTCCCGCCTGAGATCTTGGAGGTTCCAATGGGATGATGAAGCAGCCTAGTGCCATGGGAATGACGGCGCCACCGGCAAAGGCAAGGAATTGGTATTGCCATGCTCGTCTGCTAATCAGTATCGTCACTCCGTTTCCCGATAGCACGGCCATCTGTCAGCGACAATTCTTGATCAAGATGATCATGACGGCATGAGATCAATGTCTCATGCAGGGGGTAGATGATGTTCACTCACCCCCCTCGTTCGGCAATAGCAGCCCCAATGATTTGTCCCGGTCCTGCTCCTATAGGGTATCCTAATGCGACAGCAGCATACGCTCTTGTTCTCCATGGTTCCGTAGAAAGAGTAGTCCCCACTATTCCAAATGCGGCGGGTAGGGCAATACTAGCTCCTAAACCGGACAGCGCTCGGAAAACGCAAATGGCAACTCGATCCTATCTGTCAGTTAATTTGTTCTTAGATCTAGTCAGATAAGGTTGAATTTCCCTACTCACCCTTACTACACCGGAAATTACTGAAAAGATGGCAAACAAACCTAACCCCATGAGATAAAGACGTTTCCTTCCGTACACGTCTGCCAGTCTACCAGAGACTAAAAGACCACTTCTCGTAAGCTTCACTTCCTGGTTGCCAAAGCTAACTCACCAGCCATAAGCCAGAGAGTACGAGGAGGCTATCTGATGGTCAGCGTTGGCGGTATGTGGTAAATTGAGACTTACCCATTGTGCCGCTAATGTGGATGTATGGAGATCAGCAGCGGCGGCGGGGATGTTGATGTTTGATGCCCCATTACTGGCTGACTTTACATTAGCTTTCTTCCACTTGGCGTCCCCGCTCATCAGAAAACAGTGATAGCCTCCCCAACCGGCTTCCATCGGTTTTCTGCACCAACTCAAATGTCCAAGAGGGAAAGACTCACGGTGATCACTGTGGTTAGAGTCATACATATTGCTAGGAGCCACTTTCTCCCCATTGACAGGTCTGGAGGAGGGTATTCGGAAGATGTTTCGGAAACATTGATTTTCTCAACGCCGGCACGCTCCTCTCTTGGAATTTCATCAAAGAGCAAGGCGGGCGCTTCTACCACAGAGGTACCCGCAGACTTGGAACCCGTCATTGAAGGGGTCGGGCTCTTCATATCCATGGTGCCGGGGAGATGACAAGAAAGGTCAAGTCAGTCGAGTGTATATGTATTGTTGTCAATGACGACATCTGGTCTGTGAGATCTGAATGGAATGCATGTGTGGTGAAATGCTGATCATCAGAGCGGAAAAGATGGATCAGCAAGTAGCTAACTTCCCATTGTCCCCTTTCCCGGTGATCACGGACCATCAAAGGAAGATTGAGTGACGAGGGGTTCTATCTATCAGATGGACTACGTTGTATAGAGTGAGCAGCAGGATTTATTGCATGGTCAACCCCCTAAACGGTTGCACAACTTGCTTATGACGTAGAATAGAACTATGAGAGGGTAGTAACACTTTCTCAGACAAGAAATTCTTTCTCATTCACTGGATCCTTTTGGCCGAACAGGCCCATTCTCCCATGTCTCCTGCACCTCAATTGTGCACTCCTTTGTTCTAAGCTACGTATGTCAATCTTTGGCGTAAAGAACACAATGAGTCTGACACGACCACACAGCTATAGTTCGCGAATCACCTCATGTGCGAGTGTTCATCCATGCTACAACCAAGATCTTTACCCCTCTCTGAAACCTCCGCCGACGAGACATAAGTTACTCACCACGCACGACTCACAATCGTTAGCCATCCCTCCCGCCTTGTCTCTGAGTGGGAGAGTGACAAATAAGAGACAAGAAGGGCAGGATTTAGGAGGAATATGAGAGCCTGTAGTTCAAGTTCACCTGGGTAAGGTAATGCAGAGACAGGGAAGGAGAATAGGTGAAAGGGAAGACCTCACCTCTCCTGATCTGTAGGCGTCACCTATCCCTTCACTCGTACGAGGTGAAAAGGAGAAGGTTAGATTTGAGGCATAAATCCACACCACCCTCCTCCATTCTGTCACACAATGAAGGCCAGATTTATCTTCCCTTTCATTCATTGAAACTGAGAGCCAAATTGGAGATTTAGAGGCCTTATTTTCTCACCACTAACGTCATCGTTCTCAGCACCCACCCAACCGTCAAAATCGGGACATACTTATTCTGACCCCAGAGAGATTCGTCCACTCCAAAATCATGAGCAATCCGGGTCTTCACCAATTTGCTGACACTACAGGCGCCTCTGAACCCACCACCATCTCCCGCTCAAGCACGAGGAAAAGGAAACGATCAGACACTCAGATTCCCGGCACTTCGCTTGAGACAGGGCCTACAAGTACCGTTCGAGATTTGATAGAAACCAAAGTTTTAGATGACCCCCGACTCAAAGAGCTGCTATTCCGCCTTGCTGAAGCTACAGGACCATATTCAATGTATAATATCACTAACAGCAGTCCAAACACCTATCATCTAACCAATTTCAAAGATCCCGCCAAGAGCAAGATGCTAGATTTTGATGGGAGCTCAGCCCCGAGGTTGTCCATTACGCTGGAAGCAGCCTCGACGCTTGAGAGAAGTATTCAGGATAATCCTTCCCATGTTGAATACCTGTTCGAGATGCTAAAACCGGCCAACCCAACCAAAAGGATGACAGGGGAGACTGGCCGGAAAATGTTGAGGATTGTCTCCAGGACTCTGACACTACTTTTGAACCCTGAATGGACTGCAGACCAAGCTTACTTGATGTCGGTGGGTACAATACTCCTTGCTAGTTTGTCCAAAGAATGTCTACTTATACATCTTGCCAGTGGACCGTTAGACTACAAACAGATAGCAGCACTAATCACGCATGTGGAGAAAGTCAAGGCACACAATGAATCAGACCAAGTTGCATTGCACCAATGGTGTGGCGCAGAAAGTTGGGACAACTCTGCTCAGCCTCATACCTCCAGTGCATATGGGTATCACAATAATGCACTGGTGGACCCACTATGTGAGGGGGCACATGATCTTACAATTCCCCCCTTCAGCTCATTGTACAATGGTGGCCTCCTAGGAGGCACCCAGCCTGAAGATAACCATGTTTTAATGCACCCATTTGAGCCTCAAGTCAGTTTGGCGTTGAATCAGAACTCTGAGAGATTGGACTCTGTAATGTCACCCCCGCTTCCCAAACAGTTACAAGAGCTTTCACAACACCCTCAGAGAGAGACTGCTGCCCTTGACCATTTGTCTCTTCTAAGGTCAGAACTAATCAAGCTAATGGGAATGGACACCCGATATACCATTCAAGGTCCGAGAACCACTTCATACTAGTCTCCACTACTGATCCCACGAAAAGTCGCCCATTCATGCGAGGCAGTGGAGGTATCAAGTCAGATCCCACATTGAAAATACGCACCGAGGCAATACATCACAGCTTTCGGTTTCATCTCCCAGATAGACTTGACTTGACTAGCCACAATGCAGGCATAAATGCCATACGGCTTGTGAATCTTACTCTAGAGGAGATGACCACATTCCGTGACCTTTCTGACAGATGAAGAGCCATTGAAGGGGCTATTGCAACCATGACACAGGGGTCTGGCCTACTCACCAAACGGAAGCTCACCTACTTGGCCATGTATCAAACGGAGATTGAAAAGGCGGTTGCTGATCTGAAAAAGGAGAATACAGATCACTATGGGAAGGATGCTGTTGAACAAGCTCTGGGTATTAACAAGACTCAAATTGGCTCTACAAGCTATGCCAACAGTCACATGGTGTGAAGCCAAGCAGGTTGTTACGGAGTAACAATGAATCGAGAGAACTCCATTGAATTTGACGGATTAGGAAGGAGAACGGCTGAAGTTGGAGGCAGTGCTGCAGTAGATAGGGACGGGTTTTCCCTTTTTGAGATTTCCCCACTGGGGTTGCTCAAAAGCGGTTTTTCATCTGTCCAAGTATGTACATAGACGCTTGCAGTAGGACTGAGAGGAGGACACAGATACCTGTAAACAGTATATAGTACAATCAGCAAAGTACCAACTTTGCTGATTCTTCAATATCATTCTTTGGCTACATCAATTGCAGAGGAGACGCGATCCACCACGTAGCACCAGAGACCCATAGATTTCTACAAGACTTCCATTGAGTTCGAGCCAACCTGCGACCTAGTTATCGTGTTTCCATTATCATTACACAGGTGCAGCAGGATGAGAGTGAGCAAGAAGCTGCCACATGTGCTAGAGACCTGTGTGGTTGAAGTGGCGTGTTTGAGTTTGAGTACTTTATCCTCTTGGGTGGACCACTCACTTGTGTCACACAACCACATAGCTTTGCACAATTGTGCCCACTATGACTGTGTGTAGGGAGTAGCGGGGCTCAAACAACCTCATCAGATGCATATATAATGTATGATCTGTCACGGCCGTCGAGCAACTATCTTCCAACAGACCGACGGTCGACGAACCTCAGCTAACTTGACGCTTCTAAGTGGATGTCTCACCCAACCAGGAGGGCGCAGACGTCGAAAGGAGTGTAACTACGGCGTACTTCGGCGTAGTTACTCTAATTGGGGTGTTGTTCTACTGATGGCGATGTATCTCGATTTGTATATAGCTATCTCTATCTGTCTTTCACTACTGACAACAATCAAGGATCACTGAAGAACTTCAGCGATGTCACGAACTACGTCGTGACACCTCGATTACTCCACCAACAATGACCCTCCTTTGGCCATCAAAACCCCATCACGCCTTAACCTCTTTACTCTACACGTAACTCAGGACTTCTGACACCAAGTACGGCAAAGGTAGACGGAGTTAGGCTAAGTAGGGACAATGGGAGCAGAA